TTGAAATTATATTGTTCGCCCAAGTGAAGTTTGTATTGATGATTGACAAAGGAACTCAAGCATGAATCAGGTTCATTCATAGTGTACACAGACACGGGCAAATTCGAGCATAAGGGATGCACGTGAGGAAGATAAGCTTAACTTGTTATATCTGTTATCTCTTGATCAAAAAGGTTGCATAATTGATAAGGAGAAGGACTCCTTACTCAAAGAGAACACTATCCACGATAAGGAAGGAGTTAGAAGTTGAAGTTAACTAGAACTCTTCCACCAAGGAAGAGTATAGCATTGAAACTCTAGTTATTTCCTATTCTACTAACTCTATAAATTACAGGATGTTCTCAGGTTACATGCACGCACAAAAGTTGAAGTTAAACGTGAGTTTAGAGCAAAATAGCAAGGCATTTTGCAAGCAATTCTTGTGTGATTCAAGTGTGCGAACCTGAAGCTACATGAACTAGATAGAAGAACCAGTTCCAAGTGTCTGTCTTTTATTCTAATTCAATTGTAGTAGGTGATTTCAATTTGTACCTTTCAGCTTTATCTAGAAGCAATTGTATTAGGTACTCTGAATATTCAAGTTAGAGCTAACTTGAAGTTGTCGCAACAGTTAGAGGCTGGTTGTCACAACGGGATTAGAGGTAATCCTTAGGTTTACAAAGAGTTTTTGTAAATGCTGTATTGGCTCAGTCATTTAGTGAAGTGTTGGGGAAAATCCTACTGAGTAGTAGGTTGTGGTTTTTTCACCTTTTGAGCCGGGTATTTTTTTTACGTAAAAATGCTTATATTCTTTACTTTCCGCATTTATTATTTTCCCAATTGTACTTTAAGGAACACATAGAAGAACCAGGTCCTTCTATAATCTGTGTATGCAAAAATTAGACACCACATAAATTACCCTCTCTTGTGTGGCATTGAAGTATATAACAACAATTAGTATCGGAGCGGGTTTTTCTTTAAGAGGCTTACACCTTAGGAGAAGATCAACATAAGTGCATCACCTGGAAACTGGGAAGGGCAATCCACTACTAGGCCACTACTCTTTAATGGTCAGTACTACTCTTGGTGAAAAAACAGAATGAGAGATCACATTATAGGATAGGACTACCAGCTTTGGGACATTGTCACTGATGGTCCATTAGCTACCTTGAAGAAAAATGCTGAAGGAGTAGATGTACCAAAGACAAGAGCCGGCTGCACTGTTGAAGACTTGAGGAAATTGGAGAAGAATGCCAAATCAAAGAAATGGCTTGTTTGTGGACTTGGTCCAGATGCGTACTTTTTGGAGGTCCGTAGTAGAATTTGGCTTGAAATAGCGAAATTGGAATTTTGGAAAGTTTGATCGGGAGTGAACTTTTTGATATCGGACTTTGATTCTGATTTCGGAAATTGGATCAGGTCCATAATGTCAAATGTGATTTGTGTGCACAATTTAAGGTTAATCGGACATGATTTGATAGATTTCGGCATCGGTTGTGGAAGTTTCAAGTTTCAAGTTCATTGATTTCGAATTGATGTGTGATTCGTCATTTCAATATTGTTATATGTGTTTTGAGGCCTTGAGTAGGTCCATGTTATGATATGGGACTTTTTGGTATGTTCAAACAGGATCCCAAAGGGCTCGGGTGAGTTTCAGATAAGTTTGGGTTGTGTTGCACTTGTTTTTTTTAATATTTTGACGTTGTTTTCAAGCATAAATGGTACTACATTAAGAAAATGAGCTCCGATTTCTTTTTTTATTGAAGCATTAGATCCGTATTGTAATTATGGAGCCTTAGCAAAAAGAATCATCGAATTTGGACATCGTATGAAGATTTTATGGTCATTTTACTAAGAATTGAGTTGTCATATTTTTCAGATTAATTACGAAATTACCACTAAATTCGTATTTAAAAATCTGCACTATTTTCAAATATTGAAACCAACATAGCTTCTTCAATATAAGGTCAAATGGAGTGATTGAAGAGTCTAACTTGACTAAAATTTCACAAGGAATCTATTGGAGGTATCAAAAGCGAGTTTCAAGATCGTTTGGCATGAGAATCGAGGCAGAATAGCTGGCAAAAAATATATAAAATTAGTTTGTTCATTTGGTCATATTTTGAGTTGGGGAGCTCGGATTTAGGCGATTTTGGAGGCGATTTTTGTCATAACCCAAACTGAAGTGTCGCGACGGGCACCCGGTGCCTTACTCAATCGAGTACCAACGTAAAATATCTTTTTTATCATACTATCATGACTAAATAAGCCAGAAAACCTGTCATGAGATAACAAGAATACAACATAAGGGAATACTCAACATATAATGACCCAACATGATATACAAACTTATACATGTAACATACGGGCCTATAAGGTCGACATGACCATTTATAAACTCAAAACATTGGCCGATAAAGCCATACAAGTATTCAAATGTTATAATACCATAAATATAAATATACTAATTGACTTTAACCTAAAGATAAAAAATATTTTTTTGTAATTTTTATTTTTTGTGATAAAAATAAAGTAAAAGAGAGCGATACTAAACCTAAACTAAATATTTACGCTAAAATGCATAAAATCTTAGGGAGGGTCAAAAATTACATGTCTACAATAAAGAGCACGATTTATATACTTGTTTATCACTTTATATCAAATATTGGTTGCATAGTTTTTTGTAAAATCTTGTCTGAGGAACTTGAGTTAGAGAGAGTCTATGATACTTATTGAGTACCGTGGTATCGGTGGCACTTTATTGTCACACAGGACTATAGACGCTAACCTCCACTTAATCCACCACACTCCTATATGGTGTGTGACATCCTCGTCAATCTCCCCATCCCTTAGTATAACCGACCCAAGGTACTTGAAACTTCCCCTCTTGGGGATAACTTATGAATCAAGCCTCACATCCAATCTCGCTTTCATTGGCTCGGCACTGAACTTAAACTCTAGGTATTCCGTCTTAGTCCTGCTCAACTTAAAACCCTTAGACTCAAGGTCATGTCTCCAAGCCTCCAGCCTCTCATTGATGCCACCTCGTGCCTCATCAATCAGAACTATGTCGTTAGCAAAAACATACACCATGACAACTCATCTTGAATATGGTTTATCAATACATCCATCACCAGGGCAAATAGGAATGGGTGGAGAGCAGATCCTTGGTGTAACTCCATAACAATCGAAAAGTTCTCTGAGCCTCCTCCCACTATCCTAACCTAAGTCTTAGCTCCATAATACATGTCCTTATTCACCCTAATGTAAGCACGAACAAGACTAGAATGACTCTCTTTTCGAGGTATATGGTGAGACACCACTCCTATTCCATGGTATCTATAAGGTTGTTTACTTATTTTATATTAGTCGGGCATTAGCCCAAATGTTCAGTTTTGTTATTTGGTATAGAGGCTCCATATATATTTGTAATGAGTTGTAGTAACTAGATGATACACGACATATATGAAAAGATATTTGTTGTATTTGATCTCATTATTGTTATGAAAGACTTCATGGGTGATTTTGAATTGGAAAAATATTTCATCATTTAACTTGAAAATATATACTCCCTCCGTTCTAATTTATGTGAACCTGTTTGACTGGGCACGGAGTTTAAGAAAAAATTAAGACTTTTGGAATTTGTGGTCCTAAACAAGTCAAAAATAGGTCCAGAGTATTTGTGTGGTTATAAAAGCTTCTCATTAAGGGTAGAATTATAAGTTTAAGCTAAATTGTTTCTAAATTTAGAAAGGGGTCATTCTTTTTAGAACGGATCGAAAAGAAAATAGGTTCACATAAACTGGAACGGAGGGAGTATGATTTCAAAGAGCTTCCACAGCTAAATTAGTTTTCATGCATATGGTTTGGGTGCATCATATGGTTTGGTTCGCTGGGGTCGGGTAGTGTGTCAGGTGTCGGTCGCATGGTTTGGGTTGTGACACTCATCTCGTATTGGGTAATAGTCAATCCCTCTCGGTGTAGATGCTCAAGCTCCCTATGAAACTCCTCTCTGCGAGTCTGTGTGACAAACTTCTTTAAGAAGAGAACTGAAAATTGATGCCATGTGAGTGGTGCTACACCAGCTGGCCTGACTGTCTCATAGGACTGCCACCACCTTTAGGTTTGCCCCGTCAGCTGAAAAGTAGTAAAGTCAACTCCATTGGAGTCCACAAGACCCGTTGTACAAAGAATTTGATGACACTAATCAAGAAATCCCGGAGCATCCTCTAACTCTCCTCCACTCAACTGGGGAGGACAAAGCTATAACCTCTTCTGCTCCTCATCAGTCAAAGATGGTCCAATCCCGACCTGCGCCGCATCAGCTGGCTACACTGGCAAAACCCCCGGTGTATGATAACTCTAAGCTAGTTGCTCTGGATTACGAGCGGCGGGAGTCTAGATTATCCCCTAGCCTGTGAGGTAGTTGGTGCAACTAGTATCGTGTATGCTTGAGCCAAACTCTTATACACACTCAAGATCTGGGCCATAGTCTCCTGAAGACCAGGTATAGCAATAGGTACTGCCGGAGTCTGAGCTGGTCCCACCAGCTCAACGATATTCAGAACTTGCTCCTCCACTAGAGCAACTGGTGGCTCCACAAATGCTGTTCTAGCTATAGCACAAGCCCCAACTCAGCCTCTACCTCTGCCATGTTCTCTTGCGGCCTTGACTGGAGGCACCAATGCTTCCTCGGCTTATCTGGCTGAACGTGTCCTTACCATATGTGAGAAAATAAAAAAGTAAAGGCTCAAATTTCGAAAATGGCAAATCCATAACAAGAAGGAAAGAAAGCAAAATTTTCCTAACAGTTCGGTTGCCTCTCGAAGATAAGTACAAACATCTCTGTACCGATCCGTAAGACTTTACTAAACTTGCTCATGACCCATAGAACCTATAAACTTAGGGATCTGATATCAACTTGTCACAACCCAAAACCACCACCCGGCCGTTAAGGCACCTAAATCACTTGCTAGGCAAGATAAGCATAACAAAATAACAAAATTAACGAAACTAGTACAAATCTAAAGCCCAATGTCTTAAATAAATTGCATCAATACATAACAATCCCCCTAGAACTAGTAATATAGGGTCATAAGCTCTACAAAGCAATACAAGTATGGCAATACGAATTAAAATATTGGTTGAATAATAACAACAACTGAAATGGAAAAAGATGCCAAGAATTGCGGTAGGAATGCAGCTCTACCTCGTCTCTTAGCAAGTCACAACAAAGTACGGACAACTCTCAACTGGGCCTGGATCTACACAATTAAGTACAGATTGTAGTATGAGTACAACTGAAGGTACTCAGCAAGTATCATAACTAACCTCGGTAAGGTAATAGCAACAAAAAATATCAACGAAACTTGCTAATAACCTGCTCAGTTCATAAATTCCACAAGTACACAACAATAATACCATCTAATCATAAAACATAGATAAAGTCACCTCGATGCACAAGAGAAAATATGCCAAGCCATGTATCAATTATCAATCCAGCATATAAATAAGATATGCATCTATTATTAAGTCTCGATGTACAGGTAGACATATATAGAAGATATGTACCGTGCTCTCACTAATCAAACCAAACAACACATAGAGAAGATATGCACAACGAGGCATGTATACATTCTAGATCTAGCATATAGAGAAGATATGCGAATAAAACATGTATACATCCAAGGAAATTGCAAGTAGAGAAGAAACGTAATAACTACACACTGATCAGTTTTCTCATACCACGTGTACACCATCAAGAGAAAAAGGTGAATCTAGGAGGGGTGGATTCTTATCCACATGATGCACGAACAAATCACATGCCATATATAACCACCGCACAGATCCCTCACATGCTATGATATCTCAGCACATGGACCACCCACATGCTATCAACCAGACCATATCATACAGATAACATATATAAGGATACATGTATATGAACAATGGATATCAACTACATACTTCTGGACTGATATAAGTGACATGCTAAGATGTAGACATGTGCGAAGTGTACTACCACAGTTCAAATTAGGCGATTACACCACAAAATAGCAATTAATTATGTTTAAACATGAGATTAACCAACAAATAACCTCTAACACGATTCAATTAGCTCACAAAAGGAGGGACAAACATAAGAAACATTATAGCATAAAATATAGCAATCAATTCAAGGCATATCATAGCCACTACCTCGAGCATTGATAATACCCCGGTGCACGTACATAAGCTCAACCCTCACATATGCACTACCCAGAGCGCGTAGCCAACACTAATAACTCAGGCAACTAGTGCCTCAGCCAATTTTAGGTAAGATACTCACCTCAAGCAAACCAATCAATACTCTAGAAATCCCTTAGCACACGAATCGACCTTCGAACGGCTCGAATCTAGCAAAAAATAATTTAATAATATTAAATAAAGCCATAAGAAATAAATCCAAACAATAAAGATTCGATCTTTATAAACTTACACAAAGTCAACCCAAAAAGTCAACCCAGGCCCGCACCCCAAAATAGGATAAAAGTCACAAATCCCGAACACCAATTTTAATACGTGTCCAAATATGTGTGTTTCATCTAAATCCAACCTCAATTTGACCCGCAAATCACCAATTTTTACTCTCCAAAAACCATAGCAAAACCTAAATTTCTCCTTTAAATCATATAGTCTAGGCAGGGGCGGCTAATATTTTTGGCGGCCTAAAACAAAACCTTAATTGGGGGCCTTATTTTTCTAAAAACAATTCCTATATATTATTATTTGAAGTAGATTTTTCTAGCTTTTTGAAATAAAATTTTAAAAAACTTTCACATAAACCATTTAATTTTTCATGTGACACTATTGATCTTAGGTAAATAGAATCCGATTTAAGAAGTTGATAACTTTTTATTAAAATAAATTTTTGATGTTTCAATATACTTGTTACAATGATAAAAATATGAATAAAAAAATAGAGTTTAAAAGTGTATTGCTCATTTTCTAATGATAAATGTAATATTTTTTTATATTTATAATATTTAACTTTTCTACTTTGAAATACTTAATATTTTTTTAAAAAGATTTTGGGCCTCATCAGAAGAATTGTGGTAGGATAGATAAGATTTCTATCTTTAACCAGAGTTATTCAGTTCGAGTATCTGGAATGAAAAAAATTTCTTCTAAGGAGTGGTTCCCATTTTAATGGACTTTACATGGTATGAATATCCCAAATTAAATACCAGATATCAAGTGGAATTGAAAAAAATATTTTAGGCCCCCAAAATTTTGGGGCCTAAAGCACCTGCTTTAGTGGCTTCACCCTCTGGCTGCCTCTGTCTAGGTGTAATAATCCATGGGAAAATAAGATCTAACATCAAAATCAAGTAGAGATTACTTACCCTTCAGATTGTAGTAAAAAACACTCCAAAAATCGCCTATAGCCGAGCTCTAAAACTCCAATTAATAAGAAATAACCAAACCCCTGAAATAAATATTCTATCCAGTAGTTTTCGTATTTGCGGACCAAAATCCCCCATCTGCGGTACCACATCTGCGGAAAAATAATCGTAGATGCGAAAGTCACTTAACTTCCGTCCCTCCGCTTCTGCGAACTTCTCGTCATTGATGCGCATCCGCTTATGCTGAAGTACCTTCGCACCTGCGACAACGCATCAACGCTAACATTGCTGCATATGTGGACTTAGCCTCCCCCAACCATTCCTTGCATCTACGGCCCCAGGTCCACTTCTACGAACTAACACCTGCACCAAATACATCGCAAGTGCGAAATCGCAAACCAGAACTGCCAAACAACATGGAAAAGATCAGAAACTCATTCGAAACATATCCGAGAACCCGTCCAAACATACTAAGCAGTCCCAAAATACAACATGGGCCTAATCGAGGCCTCAAATCACACAAAATATTATCAAAATCACGAATCGCACCTCGATTCAATCCTAAGGAACTAATCAACTTCCAACGTTCTAAAACTCATGCCGAACCACGTCTAATTAACTCAGAATAATCTCAAATCTTTTGCACGAATCCCAAATGACATTAACGAACCCATTCCAACTCGTTAAATAATAATACGAACCCGATATCGATAAAGTCAACTTCCGATCAATCTATAAACCTTTCAAACTTTAAAATTGCCAACTTTCGTTAAATAAAAGCAAATCAACCTAGGAGCCTCCAAGTCCAAATCCGGACATATTCCTAAATCTAAAATCGTACATCCAGACCTAACGAAACCATCAAAATTCCGATCTGAGGTCGTTTACACAAATGTCAAACCTTGGTCAACTCTTACAACTTAAGCCTCCAACCATGGAACTAAGTATTTTGATTCACTCCAAAACCTCCCCGAACCCAAGCCAACTATCCCCACTAGTCACACAATAATAAATACATATACGAGAAGCATCAAATACGGTAACGAGACTCAAATACACAAAACGACTGGCCGAGTCGTTACAATAACTCGGGATATAATAGGCATATACAATGACTACACAATACACATTGTATCCTCAGGATGTAGTAGGCATACATGCGAAGATATTGCCTTTCCATTCACTCCAAAAAGGTTGGATTCAACCTTAATCCCCATCAATAAGTATTATTAAATCACCAATACCTTTAAACATAGTGTTTCAATTTTGTATATACACAATCTATAGTATAATACACCTATTGTACAATATTATTCTATATTATAAATATATCAGATATATGATTATATAAAAAATAGTATAAGTATTATCCAATCATCATTAAAACCCCATACCACCACTGAATCTTTACTCGTAAATACTATTAGAAACAAAAAAAAAAAAAAAAAAAAAAAAAAAAATAATGAGGAGGAGAAGAAAAAGAAACTACCTACCAAAAAATCGTAAAGAACTCTTTTGTTTAAGTTTTCCGGTGAGGCTTTTCTGACCGAGATTTTATTGAACCGTTAGTGGTTTTTCTTGGTGGAATGAAGTATTTACTCAAATCTGGTAGCTATGTAGACAAGTGATGACGATGAGATAACTGTGAAAGCATAGAGCTGAAAGAAAAGAAAGAGAGAGAGAGAATGAAAGTGGCGGCGAAAGATTGAGTGTGAAACTAGATGGGCTCTCAAGATTTGACTTGAATTTAATTTTAAATTGCTCAAAACATACAAATCGGCTAATTTGTAAGAACAAAACTATTTTTTTATTGGAATGTGTAAGGCAATTGTTCTGGTATAATTTTAAATAGAAAATTCTTTATTTCTTTCATTTATCATGTTTAAATATAAAGAGAAATGTTAATATGTCCCCTTCTATGAAGTTTATTTTTCCCAATTCCCCTTTACTTTATATATATATTTTTAATAATAACTTTTATTATCTATAATTCTTCTCACTTAATTAATAGAAATATGTTCAAAAGATTGGTATATTCCTATATTTTTTTATTAGACCATTTCGAAAAGATTAATACGTCCTATATTTTTTTAATGAGAAGCTCTTATAGCCACACATGTATTGTGATTTGTTTAAGACCACTAACTTTAAAAGATTTAAAATTACTCAACTTTCAAAAGTATTTTTTTAATTAAATTAAACAAACAAATTGAAACTGAGTCGAGCATATAGATTACACTAGTCAACTTATTCGCGCTTCGCGCGATCAAATACATGAAATTATGAAATACTTAATTTTCTTCGTAAATATATTTGAGATAAGAGAATAAAATTTTCATGCATATACATAAAGCAATTAATTGCAAAAGTTGATTAAATCATAAACATAAATATTTTTCCCTCGTGCTCCAACACTTTTTATATTACTAATTCTACATTAACAACATTCATTATATGAATAGAAACAAAATATAGTTGTATTAAAATTACAACGATTTATACTTTTATACAAAAGTACAACAAAAATGTGTTTGTGTATCAACTTTAAAAATATACATAAAAAAAGGATCGCACAATCAGCAAACATTACAATAATATGCACTTTAAATACAAAAGTACATAGTAACAAAATTGTATTTGTACATTAATTTTAGAAATATTATACATATATAAATAAAGAAAGGATCCGACAATCCGCAAATATTTAGATAGCAAACTGTTTTAACTGTTGATGAATCTTAATTTCTCTCTCTGTGTAGTATGGCATACTCGAAGCAGGTACTGAAAAAATTTATCCTCAACGGGAGTCTTGCTTATGTCAAAGAAATTTGAAGATGAGTGCCGAAATTTTGGTCAATATTTTGCAATTCAAATTCATAAAGCTCATCTTAATCTTGTTATCATGGCATTTCAATAAAACTTCTTGAATGTCAGAATTATATATAGTTATATATATATAATGAGATATATATAATGAGATAATTATATATAGTTTTATAATGTCATAATACATTTAGAATGTGTAACGCAAGACCTCTTACCTAACTTTCTTGTTTAAATGTTCTATATAAAATTTTACCCGCACTTTGTGGTCGCATGAAGAATTAAAGTACTATGACTAAATGATTAGTCTCATAATTTTTATATAAAATGAAAAAAAATTATATGAAACAAATAAGACACAAAAACAACTCAACATGATTACAGGTGAGAAAATGGTTAGGAACAGAGAGAGGCTAATTAAATGAATTAAAAGGTGCAACTTTTTTTTTTTTTTTTTTTTGCAATTAAAACATGATATTGCTTGATTTAATAATGATAGTGAGAAACCCAATCAACTGAAAAATTTGGACGTTATTTGTGTCTTTTGTAACTGAAATAAATACTATAATGAGATGTAATAAATAGGATTGAGAATGATCAATTTCCAATTACTAAACAATTTTAACAAAAATTGAAAAGAATGAAAGGGAAAAGTAAAAAAAGGAGAAACCCTAGGGTTTGTACCAAAACTTCAACAAAACAAAATTAATACAAAGTTGAAAGATGGAAGGCAGACGATTTCGAAGGTTTAGCAGATGGCAAAGAAGCAATGAGACTCTATTGCCTATGCGCATTAATCGCCTATCCAGCACTATCTCTTGTTGGTATGAATCACATCTTTCTTCTTTTTTCCCCTATTGTTAGCGGTATTTGAAAAGTTTGTTTAAATTGGCCATCGAATATTGAGATTTGCAGGTATTGTGACTACAAGTCGTCAATATTGAATGAACCCCTGTTTCATTTCGGACGAAGATACTCAAGGTCTTCTTTTTTAACCTTTTTTTTTTATAGATAGATAGTTCATGCTTTCCAAGTTTTTTGATACCTAATGTGTATGAATTAGCAGATGGTGCATATTTTGCCTCTGTATGTAGAGGAAGGTGGTTTTCAGTACCAATTGCTTTACTGTTTTATTTTCCAGTGATTGAAAATTCAATATTGAAGTTTGCCTAACCTAGTAACATTTGAAAAAATGTCCTAAATCGTTGCTTGAATTTTTCTGCTGCTTGTGTTATGTTAAATAAATTGAAGGAGTAAGTACTATTGCAAAAGAAGTTAAAATTGATTTTTTATTGTTGCTTGGAGGCGCATTATGCTTAGAGTTTATATAGCTTATTCTCAACAATGTTTGTAATTTGGTTGACAGTTTAGTTAGATGGTGTGTCTGGCAGGTTTTGAGAATTGCCCATTACTTAGTCATCAAACTTTAGCAGCAGCTGTCACACAGCTGACGTTAGCTTTTACCCCCGACATTTAAAACTTTTACCCCCGACATTTAAAACTTGTACCTATAGCTGATTAGTGAGGAAAAGACCCAAATATTCCCTTATGTATAGGGCTTGACATATTTTTGTCCTTTGTATATGCTACTGAACACAAATAGTCCCTCATGTTTGAAAAAGGTGGACATAGGGGTGTGCATTCGATTTATCGATTCGATTTTGACCCTTATCGATAATTACTTATCGATTATCGATTTGTACATATGCTTATCGTTATCGTTTCAATAAGGTTTCGATTTTTTCGATTTCGATTTATCGATTTTTGGGGGTTATCGATTCGGTTATCGATTACACCAATAAAATTTTTTACGGGATTCCACGGAAAGTATATCGCTACAAACACACCTAACTAATATGGACAAAAGGAAGCTAAAATAAGAAGAGCACCGTTTATAACATAAAAATTGTGTCAACAAACACATGCAACGAAACTAAAGTAAGTGATCAAATGTATGCCACCAACACTCCAACGGTATAAACAAACAAAAAATCAAAATACATCATCACGGCTAATTCTGTTTTCCACTAATTTGAACTTCATTCCCTTGAGCTTTAAATATGACTATTCCTTAAATGTGGTAGAGGAAATAATAGGGTTAGGGACTTAGGGTAAAGGAAAGGGTATTATAGAATAAGGGTAAAAAAAATTTAAAAAATTAAAAAAAAATTTTACTGTAGCTTATCGGTTTATCGATAAACCGATAATCGAAGAGGACAAAATCGAAATCGAAATCGATAAATCGATATAGAAAATTTTGAAATCGAAATCGAAATCGATAAAACGATAACAAATAATCGATTCGATTTATCGATAAACCGATTCGAATGCACACCCCTAGGTGGACACATTTGGTTCGGGTCTAGAGTAAACCCTGAAGCTAACGGAAAGATCCTCAATTTTAATGGTTCTACAGTAAAAAAAATAAATCAAAACAAACAAATCAAGATCTCTTCTCCAGTAACTCGTGTGGGTCATACAAAATAAGAACAGGGATGTGTTTTCACAAAACTTGATGGAACAACAGAATAACACTAATTTCTCCACGCTAAATCCATTCATCAATTTCAAAATACATTTACATTCACTTAAAGAATCTTATATTTTCATCATTTTATTCAACAAGCACTAGATAATCAATATTCACAACAGAGGAAGAAATTACGAATCATCGATGCTCTTCTTTTATATTCCATCCGAACTAGCAGAACACTCCATCAAACCTTGAGCTTCCTATTACAGTCCAAAAGAGTACCAAAAAGAAGAAAAAGTCTCTTCTTTCTTAGTTGAGAAAGACCTATTTCATTTTAGAAGATTTCCTATTACATCAATGTGTACTTTGCTTCAAGAAAGCTCGTTGCTCTAGTTAATCACCAGCAAAATAAGCTCGTCCTGTACCACAGAAGTCCAATCTAGCAATAATGCTATCAATTTTATTTGCTATATATGGAAATTTCAAGTTATTCCAAAGAGCTATTTTCTCTGATTTAGGCCTCATTTGTTTCTTAAGATTAAGACGTCTGAATCTGAATACACATGAATATCAAGATGTGTATTAAGATTAAGACACTGAATCAGATTCAGATGTGTATTAAGATCTAAATACTAAATGATTAAGACTGTTTGATTTTTAACATCTGAATGTATAAAATTTATCTTTATTTGAAAATTAATAAACATAAAATTCAAATGAAATACTAATTAATTTAATATTCTATCAATAAAATATATAATTTTTAAAAATATGATAGTTGTGGTTGTGATGGCTAACGGTGGTGTTTGTCAATCTCGACTAGAGGCGGGTAGGTGGTGATTTTGGTTGATGGTGGTGGTTCAGTGTAGTAACTAATGGTGATTGGTTGTGGTGGCGATTAATAATCAAGTTGAGGTTAGGGTATGAGACGATCAATGTTTTTAGTTTCCTATGCTCCACAAATTGGATCAGATGCAGAAGCTAAAACTAAGTGTCTGCGACCAACTTATCTTTATTCGGGGAGATTTTCATGTAGATAAAGATAGTGACGGTTTTCGCTAAATGACATAGGAAATATGGTTATGGAAGTTGGAATGATGAAGGAAAGGTTGTCCTATATTTCGCTCTAGCTTATGATTTAGCTTGTAGCTAACACATATTTAAAAAGAGAGTTTTCACCTAATAACATTTAGTTGTACTTATGATTTATATATAGTCGTTGTCCAGTGTTTCCGTCGTACCCAACCATCATAAAGTACCGACAAGGCAGACATCCAATTTGTGAGGAAGTACTGAATAAAGTACCGAGTATGTAAGACAGGAAAGTATAAACAAGATTAGTAATGTAAAGAGAGATATAAGATATACAACTTGTAACATCTGAGTGCCTCTGGCAGTACTGACATGAAATGCATA